CCCAATACCTTTCTCTTTTAAAAAGATTTTGATTATTGGTTGAGTAAAAATAAGAGCTAAGATTTATTATAATGTCCCTTTCAACCGCCCTCTAATCATGCACGTCATCTTCGAAACTGAGTAAATTTAAATTCGAGACGAGGTTTAAAAAAGGACACGTATGAATTGTAAATAAAATTAAACAATAAATTGGTTAAAAATCACAGTGATTGTCCGTCAGAGATGTTTAACCAAATCCTATGTTTAACTTTCATTTAAAAAAAAAGGATTCATGTCATGTTTAACGTTTTTTCCCCCAGAACCATCCCATGTTAAAATTTAGTAATTATATTTTTCTATTTGGACTAATCCCATGTTTAATTTTGTGGTTATATTTCTTTTTCGGACTCATCCCATGTTTAAATGTTGTTACATTTTCTTTTTGGACAAATGTCATCTTTAACTTTTGTTTTTCTTGTTGGACTTCCCATGTTATACTTTTGTTTTTCTATTTTTCTTCTTGAACTGTTGCGTGTGCACCCTTCCGCTGTTAATCCCTTTACTCTATTTCTTTAGCGCCCATTTCAAAACTTTCACTAAACGTATAATACTTCTTTCCTTGTCCCTTTGACTTATAGCTTACTAATCCTAGATCTACCTCCCTTGGTTTGGCCCGAGGGCAAATAAATAATGATACAACTTGTCATCGAGATGCAACTGAACTGTGTAATCAGATTTCCCAAAAGCCCCGGGTCAATCTAAGAAAAGAAGTTGACATGAAAGTGAAATATCATATTCTGTGCACATACAGACCAGGTGGATCTCATGGGAGCTTAAAATAGCCGCGTCTCGCGGTGGGAATGGAGGACTTATTAGAATCGAGTGTTGAACGTTTGGGCTCCTTTGAATATTATCAGATGAAGAAATAGATCTACTTTTTTCGTTTTCTATACGTGTCGGCCAGGTAAGCTCTCCGCCGTCTGGTGTCTGTGTCATTGTGATCCTAGCGATTAGCATCTTCCTCTAGAACCCCCCCCCCCCGAAAAAAGCAAACAAAGAAAAAAAAAACAACAAATAAAAATTTGACCCCCCCCAAAAAACAACAACAAAACAACCTCTAACAAAACCAAACAAAAATAAGAAACAAAAAGGAAAGGGGGTCTTGTCTTGTAGCAGGTGTCTCAGAGAAATGAAGTGACGGGAAACGTCGTACTTTTCCAAACGTGTATAGTTAGTTCACTTTCTCATGAGGTAATTGGTTTCTTTTTAAAAAAGAAGCGACTCAAGATTATGTAAGTTATCTTGAGAAAATCTACCGTGGCTACTTTGCTGGTTGGGACCCCCGACTTTGAGTTCGTTGTGAACGCTGACAACAGATTAAAGTGGGGCAACTGGTCTGTGTTTTAAAGTGATTGCTCGTTGAAACCCTCACTCCATCTTTTGTTCTTTCTCGCACGGATTACTGCAACTCTCTTTGAAAAGCTCCCGCACGTCATCTTGGAACATCAGCGCTATCAAAACCAAGCTGCGGGAATCGTGCAAAAAAACAACAACCACACACACACAAAAAAAAACGATTAGAGGAAAAAAGAGGAAGAACGATCAACCGTAGCACAATTGCAAGGAAATTCCATTTGCTCCAAACTACAGCTACCATTATTTTCACTATTGCTGCCCTTTGCCATCAAATGTGTCCCCAATGAAGCCCCCCCCCCGCCCCCCACCCCCCCCCTTTCCCCCTTTCCGATGAATTTAAAAGTAGTCATTCTTATTTATGTTTCACCAAGATCTCCAGGATTAGGATACCAGTCTCTTATGGGAGCAACTCGGAAGAAAGGTCCAAACACTCGCTGGGATGTCCTTTTCACATCTAGACTAGCTCCATCTATCTGGTATTCTCTCTCTCAACATAATTAATGGACACAAAGTCGAAGTAAAATTTTTTTATTCCTTTGAAAAACGTACCTTATGAAATGCATTCTTGATAGTTATAGTACTTCTAATTCATAGTTCACGTAGGCCTCCTCTTACGTTCAAAATGAGATGTGTATATCTTCATCGGTCGTGATGTACGAGTAATAATATGAATGTCTGCTTATGTGTTCGCATTATTCTTAAGAGCACATGTCTGCAGGTTCATTCTGTATCTTGTGTTAAGATGAAGTTATTGTAAAGCCCCTACTAAAGCAGTATTATACATGAATGGGCGCTGTAGAAACTTGTTATTCGTATCGAGAAAATGGCAAGAGTCTAAAGTCGGTACTTCTTAGACACAATGTTCAGCGTTCAGTGGCCTACGAAACCAAAGTTTTGAAAATTTTTTAAAATTATAAATACTGTTGGAAATTCCACAATTCCACATTTTCTGTGCTTTTAGATGAACACTTTAGGGCAGATAAGCATTCACCAAATCTTCACGTTTTCTTCAGCATTTCTGTGCCAGGCCACTGCTACCTTCAGATGTACTAGTATTCTTGTGCAGCGGTTAGGCACTCCGCCGTCATACGCTGAAGAGAGCTCGAAGCCATGAGGGGAAGTTTGTTGAAATCGATGACGACCATAGTATGTA